GAGGTTATTTTAGTAATTTACCACTTTAGTAAGGGTTATGGGGTTATATGAGAATTTTTTTGGTGTTGGAGGTTGGTATTTGAGAGAAAATGTTTTATAAAAATTGGATCCTGTTCGTCATCGAAGAAGAAAGAAGGAAGACAAATGATTTTTCTTTTTTTCGGCGACACAAATCATTTCGATCCAATGGACCTGCGACACGTGGCAGCTCTGATACTTCTCACCCCACTAAGGCGTTGATTGGTATGGCTTATAGCGAACAGAAGCAACATTCGCATTAACAATATATTGCACGAACAATATGTTCTAATTAATATAGATAAGTGATGGGTAAAACTGTGAATAACTAGATATAAAATTAAACAAATGATTTCATTATATTTATTTATATGTATTTTAATACATTATATATATACTAGTCATCAGTTATAACAACATTTTTATTCAATTATTTTTTTATTAAATTATTATTTTATTATAATATTATTTAACAAATAGAGAAATAAACTAATGTTAAATATTAGATTTTAGTTTTAATATAAATATATTTATAAAATTATAACATAATTTTTTTAATAATATTTTCAAATTTAAATTATATTTAACTAAATTTTGTTGTTTTATTTTGATATTATTTTAAAATAATAAAACCAATAAAATAATGATAAATATTAAATAACATAAATAAAAATTAATATAATTTATTTTTGATCTCATATATATAAAAGATTAATTAATTAATATTTTTTTTAAATATTTTTTAATAATAGCATTGGTCAAAACTCAGGAAAAACTTTATTTAGGAGCATCGAGAGTATGAGCATTTAGAGATCATTACCATTTACTAAACGCTCTGCTTAATGTTTTGTCTACCAACCAAGTTTTAATGATAAAGAGCATGATGCTCATTTAAATGCTTTGCCAATCAAGGTCTGATACGTCTCAAAGCAAAGTTTACTAAATAATTAATTCTTTATTTATTTTAGAGCAAAGTTTACTAAATAATTAATTCTTTATTTATTTTAGTTATTTTTCAATAACATGAAACGGTGATAATATCACCGTTACAGATGGTCTAAAAGTGCTTGATTTTCAGAGTCTGCTCTGCAAAAACAGAACTAATCCATGGGAACATACTCCCAATCTCACAAATCTTTTGGTTTGATGGATATATGAATTAGTGGTTAATCTATAGGTCAATGTTACACACATCATTCTTGGTGAAATGTCACAAATTTGCAAGTCCCAGAAATATGGAGGGAAGGATGAATGGTATTATCCATCGGATCGTGGAAGCTGGCAAAAAAGGAGACTAGTGGTTAATGTGTGATCATAAAGACTTTATTCAGCACTGTTTATACGTGAAAATAACGAGATCATATCAGGAAAACAGGATCATAGTTTCCATACTTTGGCTTGCAAGGACTTGAGAAATCAAGCATGCAAATACATCCAAAGAGCTTCAAAATGGGAGTAGAAAATCATGCACGCAAAATCGACAAGAAGCGGATGAAATCAAAACACATTTTAAAGCCATGACAAAAGGAACCAAATCTTTCGGCTACTTTGTAAATGGAGAGAAGAAATCATGCTAAGCATAGTATAACTGATCATTCATGCCACTTGATCAAACATATGTTAGAATCATTCACTAATTCCGCAGATAAATGGTAGGGGCAACAAAGATGAGAAACAAACTCAAGAAACAGCTAAAAAATGATTCACCCTGCTGCTTTGGTTATGTTGATCTCAAAGGTGTTGACATTGTGTAACCAAGATCAATCAGCTTTCCAATCAACACTTTCTCCGCTTTTGCCTACGCAACCGCGAAAAATCAAAACGAGTATTATCAAAACAAAGCTTGTTCTTTCCACGTTGTTATAATACAATGCAGGTATCAAACCATATCAAAAGGGGAAAGAAGAAAGAACCTCAAGCAAAGGATTGTTCTTAGGGATGTTGCAAGCCAAGATGATATTAAGACCAGTCTTCAACACTATTTTCAACACAAAACCAGAGACTTTATTATAACCGTAGTAACATCACGAAAAGAAATGATTTTGCAATTGCAAGATTGTTACAATGTAATTCTAACCTAATCTACGCGCGATACCAGATCCAGTGTTATCAGATGATCCACCAAGTACTGAAGTAACACTCACTGTATTGCTCTGCCACAAAACAAAAACAAAAACCCTAATTAGACGGACTCTGAAAAACCCTAATTTCCATGAAATTGCTTGATTTGTAATCCAGTTCTTTCGCTGAACGCACCGGTCTTGTTGAAGCGGCTGCGTACAAATTCCCAAATTTCGCGGAATTACTACCGATCCATACATAAATCTGCTCCGATTAAGACCAATTTTAGTTCCGGTGACGAACAAAGCCTTGAGGAATATGTACAAAAAGAATCAAGCTAAGTTGATGGCGGGAACCTGTTTCGCGAGACGAATGATCTGGAATTGGAGAGTTACGTCATCGAAAACCTCAGTGAAGCACGAGACTTTTACACCGTCTCCGTCGCCGGAATCTCCGATTTGGTCGGCGATTTTCACCTGAGCGACGGAGCTAAGAACTTGGTCGTATTGAGTCTCCATTGTCTCTGAATGAGAGAAAAAGCAAAATCAAAATCAATTTTACTTGCTGGTTTTCCGGTTTAATCTGGTTTGATACGGTTCAATTTTTAAGATGACGGTTTAGTAAGCAAGTCAAAATCATTCTAAGGTTAAACGCAAAATCTCACTGAGAAAAAAAATAATCTCTTTCTCCTTCGTTGTTATTCTTCCCTTGAAGATTCTCTGATCCGAGCAATCTCAAAATCCAAAGCTCACTTTCCTGAATATTCCGAAATTCGATTCGTGGTTGGTTTCTCTTCTCTTTGTTTTGAAATTACGCATCGATTGATCTTATACGATTAAGGGTTTCGATGCTTGTGAATTCTCTAGAAATCGAAACAGATCTGTGTGATTTATATGGATTCAGAGGATTTGGGTGTTTGAATCCAATCTAGTTTTTGAATTTCTTTCATGGGTTTAATCGCTCTATGTGGATGATGAACAATATCGACCTTCTTAATGGCTGTAATTAGAAAAAAAATTGTAGCTTTAGGGTTTAAATGTTGCATTAATCTTCTGTTTCTTGTTGATCTGTAGATGGATAGTGGAACGCTTAGCATCAAGAAATGGGTAGTGATGTATCCAGTTTATATTAACTCAAAGAAAACTGTAGCTGAAGGAAGAAGAATCAGTTTGAGTAAATCATGTGAGAATCCTAATTGCATTGAGATTAGTGATTGTTGCAAGCATTTGAAACTCCCTAGTGCTGTTGAGGTAATCTTTCGTTCAGTTTGATTTACAAGAGAGAATGTACGTCTTATGATTGTTTGCGCGGTCTTTGAGTTGAGATTTTTTACTGTGTTTTTCAGATTGACAAAGCGTACCCGCGTGATTACATGCAAGTAGGGAGAGTGAGGGTGCAGTTGAAAAGGGAGGATGGGACTTTAGTCAATCCAGCTATTACTTCAAGTAAGAGAACTCACATCTGAATTCTTGGTTACGCCCATTATTGTAGCGATCGATTGAATTGAGCTTGAAGTTTTGTATACCTGACTAGAAACCAAGAGCCTATCTCCATTGACTTAGAAAACACTAACATCGAAACTGCTTTCTTTCGCCATTAGTTACTCTTGTTTCGTTGTTAATACCTCTCCTTGCGACTCGTGTGTGAATGTGTCCAACCTTCCTACGAGTGTTGTCTGATTTCAGCCTGTTTGTTATTAAAACAAGAGTTGGGTATTCTTCGACTATGGGCTCTAATATGAACTTGGAACAATGTTTTGTGGTTTGCTATTTTCTTCTGCTTTGTTTTTTTCCTCATCATATCACCCTGATTAGAATTTCTTCATTGATCTTCAAATTTGTCATTTATATCAGCATCAATTTCAAAGCTTTGATCGAAGGCTCTATGAGCTGTTCCACTGACCCCTAATTTTTTCATTTATGGTCAGCATCATTATTTGCAGAACCTCATGTGTGGGAAACAATCTGTTATGTATTGTGTACATTTATAACATATCAATCTCATGCATATATGGAACTTAGGTTATTGTGCAAGTTGTAGCACTTATCTGATTTCTTAGGTGTTTATATTTGTTATGATATGTTTATATGTTCCCTGAAGTAAATTGATATTCATGTGTTGATATATATATATATGCAGGGAAGCAACTGATGCAGAAGATTGCAGAATTGGTACCGAGACATCCCGAGAGAGTGAAGAAGCAAGAATCTCAGAAAGCAAAGAAGCAAGAACCTCAGGCTACAACTTCCACAGCTGGAACTTCTTCAAAGTCAGGCAAAGGTGGCAAGAAGAAGAGATAAACAAGTCCTCTCTCTACTCTCTGTCATTCATTTTTCTCCTCTCACCAGATTATAAGGCTTTTTATTTCCAAAACTCGCTGAGAAGAAACACAAAAGTGTTTGCAGATGTAAGGATGTTTTAGAAAGATTTTGTTGGTTTCATCATTGTGCTTTGCTTCTTCTGGCATCATCAATAGACAAGATGTATGGTTAAAAAAAAAATCAGGAAAGATATTAGTTGTTGCTTTTGTGTCATGGAGGTTTTGCCTCCAGTGATGATCAGGAACACAATATAATTCGAATATCCAGACGGCACATTTAAAATCTATGGCCAAAACGATAACTATTTATAACTGTTGGTTGTTCAAAGCCATTGCATCAGTCCGATCCAACATCGACCCTTTTGTGCTTAAAGAAGTCCTTAGCTTCTGCAATATCCTGCATCCAAAGTTAGAAAATGTTATTTTCATTGTGTTGTTTTGATGCTGTAAGCCTGTAACAGAAACCTATCTCTGAGGAGTTTGACTACACTTCTGGACCAAACATTGTAAGTTCGCTTTCGAAACTTGGTTTCATGTAATCAACTTGGTGGAGAGATGAATCTTTAGTAAACATTTAACACACGTGGGCTTATACTAATAATCTTCGTTATGGTTTTGCAATGAGAAATAGCGGTTCTTAAATGGTTGAAACGGTTTTTTGTATCGAGTAGAAATTTCTCTTTATGTCAAGCCACCACATTTCGCATGTGCTAAATGGTTGAGAGATCAGTCTTTAGTAGCACACAAGTTACTTGACCTCAACACGGTTTCTTTTTTCGGGCATATATACCTGATATTTCTAACATTACGGTTTGGTATTTGGGTAGAGTTATAGCAAAATCTTGCTTGGAGAAAGGGATCACAAAGGTAGCCTTTGACCGTGGTGGTTATCCTTACCATGGACGCATTGAGGCTCTTGCCGCTGCAGCACGTGAACACGGTCTTCAGTTTTAAGCCGTTTTCTTTCCACATGAGAAAAATGTTGAATGTAGTAGAGAAGAACTCATTTTCCCCATTGAAATGTTGAGGTTTTTTTCTATGTTGTTGATTAAGAATTCATTTTAAGTGGCTGGTTTTGATCTTCAAAAGAGATGTGAAAAGAGTAATTATCATAATTTGCAACAAATCCAAACAAAACTATTCAAGAAAAAGGTATTCAAACTTATTTCAAAACAGACTCATCTTCCTCATTCAATATCCTCAATCTGCAGAAATCGATCTTAAGAGCATATATAGTTTACTCAACAACTGAAAAAAGAAAAAAGGATGTTACTCAACAGAGAACTCCATTGATAAATAGATTTGATATGTTTTGAAAGGTTTACTAGCTAGCTAGTGGTTTTCTGTATGGCAATGAGGCAGAGGAATGTGTTTCGGATCTGTATAGATCATTTTGGAGACTCAATGTTCGGTCTTTTTCAATGTAGCTACCCAACCATGAGAGGCTCCTATCGTTACGGATTCCTTCATCAATTCCAAAGGTACCTTCTTTTCCGAATTAGTAATGGAACGTTCATTAGGAGTCATAAGTCTACGTTCATTAGCATTCATAATTCTGAGTTTTCCGAGATCCTCTCCACAAGGATTAGCACCCCAAATGTAACAAGGAGGGGTTTGCGGCAAGGAAGATGAGACGCCATTAAAGTTAAGAGGAGAAGATCTTACCAACACAGTTTTCCGAAAGCAGAGCTTCCAAGGCTGGTGGTTGACAAGCAGAGACATCAATGGATCTTCTTCGTGAAAAGCCTAAAACCCTAACTGATCTCCACCTACAAAAACCCTTAAAGACTTTCCGAAAACAGAGCTTCCAAGGCAAGTGGGAATTCCCATACACACCATTGAGATTGTGAGGGATTAGTTTACAAAAAAAAATTCCTTACAACAAAAGCAAACAACTAATATCTTTTATTATTTTTTTAACAATACATCCTTGTCTATAGATGATGCCAAAAGAAGCAAAGCACAATGAAACCAACAAAATCTTTTCTAAAACATCTGCAAACCCTTTTGTGTTTCACTCTCTCCGGTACCAATTCTGCAATTTTTCTGCATCAATGCAAAATATATATTCAAACACAATCATAATTGGATTTCATTTTTAATTATGGTCGAAATCGAGGGGGAAAATACACTTTAACGAAAAGTGATGCTACAAAAAAACTAATTATTCTGTGTGATTTTATGACTAAAATAGAAAAGGTAAAAAAATTGAAAAAAATTATTTCAAATTTTTTTTTAGAATATTAAAAATTGGTTACAAATAAAACAATTATGAGAAAGAAACACGATCCTCAAAAAAAAATTTTAGATTTTTTATTTAAATAAAGGAAAAAAATTATGAGGCTAAAAAAAAAATTTGATTTTTTTTCTACCAACATCATGTTTTGAGTGAATTTTAAAATTAGTTGCCAAAAACAAAGAATTGTTCAACATAACATATATATAGAGTTAGAAAACAAAAATTTATAACGTCTTTCTCTAAAAAATGCAATCTATTACATGTTGATAACTATAAAGCGGGTTTTCTAAAATACTCGATCCTTGAAAATAACCATAGAACAATTTTATCAAAAAGACGCAATTCTTGGATATAACTATAAAGCGGTTATGTTAAAAAGATGCATCCATTGGAAATAACTATAAAGCGGTTATATTGAAAAGATGCAATCCTATAATATATAAAATAATAATAAGATAGTTCAAATGGTTTTTTTCGAAAAAACTACAAAATACTTAACATGTAAAAACACAACAATTCAAAATAACCATAAAACCATTTATTGAGAATGACACCGATCGAATAATATACTAAGGACACAACCCTTGTAAGAAGATCAATACTTTTGTAAAAATAAACCCTTGTAAAAAGATCAACCCTTGCAAAAAGATCAATACTTTTGAATGATTTTAAATAATAGAATGACATTTTTTTATCATTGTTATGCTTGTGAGGAAATTTACTTATCCCTCACAATCTCAATGGTGTGTATGGGAATTCTCTTTTTAATACGATTTAAAGTGATATGCAAGTAATAYTATGAAGTGCCTTAATTATCACAATTTCGTACTTATATATGATATTATTTACTATATGTTACGCCAAACAGTTTAGTATAATAAAAGTCGATCGTATAAACATTAAACAATGATCCACCATAGCTAAATTGACGTTCATAATATTTGAAACATAAATTCATACTAAAATTAGATTGTAGATAAGAGCATAGATTACAGCACATCAACATTAAAAAGAAACCGCCTTAACTATCACTCACGTTTTCAATCTTCAACGATCTTGTAGACGCTAATCCATGCAACGCGCTTTCCTTTCTTATGATACATAATTTTGCTGCGTTGAATAATTATGCTTTCTTTGACACTTGATGTTGAAGAATACGAGTTTGTCTTCTAAGTGATCTCAAGTATATGTGAATCCCTTATCCAGCGCGATCGGAAGTGCTATCTTTCATCTCTCTTTGGCGAAAACGTGAGAGATAGTCTCTTGATTTCTACGAGGGAAGACACCCTTTTCTATTTCTCAAGAAAAAGCTGTCGACGAGACCTTCGCCCTTGTCATAGCCGTAGTCAACGTCGTTGCTGTCGCTATTGTCACCGCCGTGCTTACTATCGGGCTTGCGTTTGCCTCTCGTTAAACCCTTAACTTTCATTTGTATCTACCTTGCGACTGATTTGATAGGTTCCGTGCTTTTTTAGCTTACCTACATTTATTCTAATGGGTTTGGAAGAAATGTAAGTATTTAGACTTTGTGCTCTAGTTAATATGGGACTTGGGACTCTTCCAAGAGGATGAGCACTGAAAGATCGGAGAAGGGTGGGGGATAAGACATTGGCCCTAACAAACACCAACACACGGAAAGACAAACAAATAATAATAATGTGTTAATATTATAAGTAAATCATTTTGCACGTTTTTCGACCCAAAGAAAAAAAAATTGCATGTTTTTTATTTAATAAAGTGTACTAGTGTTATGACCCAGTTAGAGAGTTGAATGTAAATAAAGTTTTTATTAGTTAAGATATAAATAAAGTGTTCATAAATTTCGCAAGAAAGATGATTAATATAAGTGGATGATATAATGGATGAACTCTACCTTACTAGAGTTTGTTGAAACTGAACCGGAAAGGGATGAGTCAATTGAAGGAAAGGTTCTTCTTTGTCTGAAGCAACAATACACTCTATGCTCAGCCTCACTACAAGATATCACATCACGTTTTGAGACAAAGGCTGGAGGAAACGTCAATTGGGAAGAATTTTCAAAGAAAGTTGCAGTGCATATGAATGATACTTACCCTACTGGTCTAATGAACACTTTATTTACATTCTCTTATTAGAGTTTGTTAAAATTGAACCGAAAATGTAAGTGGAAAGAGCTTTAGGATTGTGGAAAGAGCTAGAGCTTCAGATCTGGTTTTAACTCTCGGAAAACGTGCCCGAAAGAAACAACCTCTTTTTTCTCGATTTTACCCGATAGTAGTAGGTATTGGGAGATCGATGGGATCGACCATATCAAGATTATGGAAGTTATGAAGAATCAAAAAAAAATCTGGAAGAATCCAGAAGAATATCCAAGAATAGGAACTTTACCATTATCATTAATATACTATTTCCATATTAGTATAGGAAATCAGGTTATCTAACCCCTATATAAGTTTATGCATCTAATATAATTCTTCCTAAACACTTTTGTGTCCTTGCTCTCATCAATTTATCATGGTAGAGACATAGATCTAAAAGACCTTAATTTCTTTGACCTATTGTGGTTTGCTTCTAACGCAAGTTTCGCATCTCTTTCATCCTTTTTGTCTCGTGGGTTTTGTCGTTACGAAACAGAGGTTATTGGTCTTGTGCCAAGAATTTTTATTTTTATTTAAGAGCAAACCAAGCCTTTAAGCTTGTGTTTCTTGTTGACTTTTCTACGTGCCTCTTGGCATAATAATTATTTCTAAGCCTCTTGGCTTTGATTATCGATCTGTTGGCCATTATGATTTTTGAACATGAATCGATGGATAGATTCGTTCAAGTTTGATGTTTTTCTCGCTCTCGTGAGTAACATCCTTATTTTCTATTCGACTTCTTGCCCTCGGAAGTTGTTTCTTTACTTCGCAATCGCGAATTACTTATGGACCTCGTAAACGCGAAAAATTCGAAACAAAGCTTGTTACTTTCCACATTGTTATAATACCAATGCAGGTATCAAACCATATCAAAAGGTAAAAGAAGAAAGAACATCGAGCAAAGGATTGTTCTTAGGGATGTTGCAAGCCAAGATTATATCGAGACCAGTCTTCAACACTACAACACAAAGAAAATAGATGATTTTCAGATTTTGCAATTGCAAGAAGAGAGATGATTTAAACAAAATCAGGAAAGACATTTATTGTTGCTTTGTGTTATATCTCCCTCAAGTGATGGTCAAGAACACACAATTTAATTTGAATATCCAAATGGTACATTTCAAAATGCTTGAAGAAGTCCATTGTATCAGTCCGATCCAACATCAACCCCTTTGTGCTTGAAGAAGTCCTTAGCTTCTACTATATCCTGCATCCAACGACGAAAGAAAACTAAATTAGCAAGAGATTAAAGTAATGTCTCTGTGATTCAAAATTTCCAAACTGAGCAGAATTAGCAAACAAAGTACCTTTTGCAAGAGAAGTGCTTCTTGAGGACAAGTAGGAAATTGCATTAACCCAATTCCAACCATTAACAGACCATAGCATCCGAGGGATACTATAAAGTAGATCGGTAGCTAGATAAACCAAAAACCGAATCAGATGAAACAAATCCTAATTTCAAAAGAGAAAGAAACCC